GGAGTCTACCGGCTATCTTGCAGTTGCGGGAAATATTACGTTGGCCAAACTGGACGTAACATCGAGTGCCGCATCAAGGAACACGAAAGAGACGTCCGACTAAGGAAGATCCAACAATCTGCAGTCGCAGAGCATTGCCACAAAGGAGGACACAGCATAGAGTTCGAAAAAACCAAAGTGCTAGCAAGAAACGGACATTACTTCCAAAGATTGACGAGAGAGGCGATAGAGATTCATCGACATGGGAATAACATGAATAGAGAAGATGGCTGGGAACTCAGCCGCACATGGAAGATGTTGGTGAACTCAACGAAGCCTTCTCCACCCGGATTTGACAAAACAACTTAGTTGACAATTAGACACTAATTAGTTATTAATTATTACCTTTTCATGTATTTATTGTCAAATTTTAAACGAATTCGTCACTTCGAACTTGTTCTGAAGAAGGTTGCAACATGGCCTCCGAAACGTCAAACATTTTTTCAAAAAACGCACGGCTTAACCCGAAAGATTCTAGGTCTAGTGTTAGTTCTTGAGATAGTGCTAGTGTTAGTTCTAGTTTAATTAATATCGGCCGTGAAAGCCTTTTTACTTAAATTATGAAATTGATAACACTTTGAGAACGGAAAAATAGAACTTATTATCATTACAAAAACATGTAATTTAGAGCTCTATAAAGTTGGCACTATGACTATAATACTTTAAAGCGTCGTCAAAATTCATACATCTTATTTATAGTATAATTGGTATAACGGAACCAATTTGAAGTGGACACTTTGAATTTCAAATATTTATTTAAACTAAAGATTGTGTCAACATTACACCTCATCTATAACGCAATATTTATTACCCAAAAATAGATGAATATCAAATAGTTTATAATGAATTTGTAATTTTTTAATTTTAAGTTTTGCTTGACTTGACATATTAGGAAAGTTGAGTATGGAATTGAAAATGTTATGATATCGAAATATATATCGTATTATATACACTTTAGAACGTCAATTATCGTTTCTGCTATTAACTGTACTCTGAAAATGTGTCATGAAGAAACACCCAACTTGATAAAAAAACATTTCTTATATCAAACATAATAATTTATAGGTGGTATTTAATTTTTTTTTAATTTAATGTAACGCAATAATTCTTGATAGTAATTGATTATATTTTAAAAATTTTATGGTTACCTGTGATATTTATAGTTTCTTAATTGACTAAAACATTTTCCACATTCTTCACACTTGAAAGGTTTAAAAGATTTTTGGTTTTTCGATTCACAACGATTAAAGTCGTTTTCTTTCGGATTTATTTCTTCATCAATCATTTTAATTGAATCGTCTTCTATTTTCTTATTTACACTCGATGCTTCTTCATTATGTTTCGACATATTTTCGTTTATCTTCAAAACTTCTTCGTTTTCGTTTGAAATTTCTTCACCGGTTTCACTTTGGCCTATTTCCGATCGAATAAAACCGCTTTTTTTATTTGCATAATTAACAACTTGAAAATTATTGTTGTTGGTGTCATTTAAATCCTGAAATTCTTTGTGGATTTTTGTTAAAACCGGATCATGTCTTGGATCGCCGATTAGAGGAGCACCGATTCTAGGACACCAAGGACTTGGTATAACGTGACCTTTATACGCCGTTGTGGTTCTTTTCATTCTAACGGTTGAGATGGGTAACAAATTCGGTACTTTTCTTAAAGCTTTTTTTAAGGGTTTTTCTTCGATTTTGGTTTGGATTGATTTCTTATCGATTTTCGATGAAAAATCTTTGATATCGAGGCAATTTAAAAACTTTAACTTTAACATAATCTCGTCGTAAATGTGAATCTTTAATAATGAAGCTGCATCGAGGAAATCTTTGATTTTTTCTTGCGGAACTTGAACCCTTCCTGTATAAATATAATCTAAAAGTAATGTCATCGTTGATGTTTCAACTTCCGGTAAAACGATTAGCGCTGGTGTTGAAGTCTCTTCCAAGAGAATGGTCTGAAATATAAAATATTAACGATCATATAATTTAATTAGCGAGTTAAGTCATTTTGTTGCTAATTTATGACATACTAGGTAATAATTTTTTATTAACACATTTTTCTCCGGTTGTAAAATTTATATCGCTTAATTTGAACTAAAAGATTTTCTCTTAATTTGGTTATTGTTAAAATGTCGCTATAAAAAAGCTTGGGGTTATAAAAATTGGTGATATTTTTTCATGGTTTTTACGTTGACCGTAAAAACACCTTTTCAGTAAAGGCAATTACAACGCGTCGCGTATACGGCTCCGTTGCGGTTTAGAAACGTCTCCTATGAGTTCTAATCTCACGTTTTTAATCTCGCCTCGGTTAATTGAAAACGGCCGCGATCGCGCTCATCATGAAGAAGACGACCACCTTTCAACATTGCCTTTGAATTGCATTCTTTAATATGACTGTGAGTTGCTCAATTCGCTACGGCATACTTTTACTACGATCGATAATAAACCTATTTTGTTTAACTTTTTCTTTTAATGATTCAATTCATTCAATAAACGTTAATTTACCTGCAATAACGGACTGGCTATCGATAGTATTACTTTGTGGGCTTTCAAACGATGTCCGGCGCAGCTTAGAACGACATCGCAGGTCGCTTCAGATGTTAATAATTTTAGTGCTCCTTCTTTAATTACTTGTTCCATTTTTATGCTTTCAATTTAATCTGAAAAGAAATATTAAGACATTGAATAAAAAATTATGTAATTGAAAATGCAAGCTTTTTGGGAAATATTAAAAAAACTTATGGACTTTAGATAGTTAGAAAACAACTAAAATAGAAGAAATATCTCAATATTTAACTGCAGTTTTTATTATTAATTATTAACTACTAATAGTTTTATTAGTTTTAAGCGGTTGGGAATCATAATCTGCAATCAGCGAGTTAACCTCGATGATGTTTTTTTTAAGAATAAAAAGTTTTTGTACACTTGAAGAAAAGGTTTATTAAGGTATCGAACAAAATGTACCAATAACTTTTAAAGTTCATTGTCAACTTGAAAATGAAGATGATATAGAAGTAAATCCATAAATACCAAAACAAGAAAGGTAGTGTTTCATTACGCTGCATGTAGGTTGTAAGAATGAAATTTTAGAAAAATGCGATTTCTTGCTTGACCCAAAGATTGAAAATCAATTGTCAAAAGACAAACCCCTCTCATGAAATGGTCATTTGCAAGGAGTTTTACACAAAGCTTGATTATACTTGTGGCCTTGTCGTAGTTTTTGTGGCAAAAAATTGGGGTCTTACCCTTGAAAGACTGTACTGGCTCTATGTGACTGTGGTTAGACTTATGATCACATACGAAGCGACAGCCTGGTATAGGAAAGCCTGACAGACTGCAGTTATCAGCAAACTTTCATGAATTCAACGAATAGCTGGACTGGCAATCTCTGGTGCGATAAGCACAATGCCAACTGTAGCAATGGATGTTCTGCTTAGTCTATCTTCTTGGCATTTGCATATAGAGAAAGTGGATAGAACTGTTATTTACAGGTTTAAGCAGTATGCTCAAAAGTACTGATATTGTGCTATCAATGCTGTCAGATTTAACGGGATCACTACCAGTGATTAATGCTTGATACTAGATTGTACTGCCCTTCAGGCAGTCATAGATCGAAAATTAAAATTCTCTGGTTCAGGCAGATATTTGCATGTTCACAGATGGATCAAACACTCCGGAAGGGGTCGGGACAGGAATATACAGCTAGACACTTCGGATTAAGCACGCTTACAGCCTGGGTACGTACTGTACTGTATTCCAGGCGCTAAAATCCTTCTTGAGAGAGGGGTGAAGAACATGATAGTATTTTTCTCGAACAGTCAAACCGCTCTCCAGGTGCTGCAGGCCGTGAAAACGGCGCCGGCGTTGACTCTGGTTAATGACTATAAAAGAACTTTAAACACACTGAGTTGTGATAACAGAGTTTCTCTGACTGGGTCCCAGGTCACTCTGGGGTTGCTGGTAATGAAGCGCCAGATGAGTTAGCACGAGAGGACAGCACTAAAGCGTTTGTAGAGCCAGAGCCAGCAGTTGGTATATCATTTGCGAAGGCCAAACGCAGGATTGGACTGTGGGCTGAAGAGAGACTTCGCCTACTATGGACCAGTTTTCCTGGATGAGACACATTAAGTTGTTTATTAACATTGGTACTGTCAAACCCGGAAATATTTTAGGATCTGCTCATAGCGGCATTAAAGTTCTAATGGGCCCTGCCGATTAAAGACACACGGTTGAAGATGTTTTATGCCACTGCCCTGCTGTTAATCGTATCAGAATCTCGATTTTTGGATCACAGTTTATCTCTCCAAAGGATCTGAATGACTTTTCACTGAGCAAGACATTAAGGTTCGTTAAGAGATTGGACTGCACTATGAAATATGATAATGTTATCTATCGGGGTACAATAGATCTTTAAGGTCACATAATACACATAATTTATGTAATGTAATTTTAACTAGATTTTGCTAGAAAAAAGATGTATTACTATAATGGACAACGCTTCATATCAGTTAATATACAACCTGATATGCTGAATAAAGTGAACAAAGCTCCAACTAAAATATTTCTTACAAGAACAGAATTCTGTATAATTTCTAAAATAAGAGCCAATTTCTTTATAATAGCAACAAGTATTTTACTTAAACGAATTTATAAATAAAAAACAGTTAAGTTCACTAAAATAACAAAATAAATTAATAATTCTTCTAAATCATTCCATCATAATTTCACAAAAGTAATTGTACAGCTGAAAACTGACGTGTGAATAATCTTCTTAAAAATGTGGGGTTCTAATAATCATGGGCTTCTATTCTCAATAATCATCATCATACTTGGCTTAACAGTTCCTTCCAAACTTGTTTATTCCGCGCTCGTCTCCAACCGTTCACCATCAGCCTTCTCAGATCCTTTTCCACATCTTCCACAAATTATCTCCTCACCTCCCAACCGATCTTGTACCGACAGGTTCAAGGCCATCAAAGAAAATTCTTGTGGTACTTTTTATGTCCATTCTGGCTACATGGCCAATAGACAACCTAAATCTTGACGTCACAGAGATGGGCGCAGCTTATACTGACTCCAAACATTTTCGTTGCTAACTGTGTTGCTAACGGTAAATCAACATATGCAATTTTCCATTAGTGTTAAAATAAAATAAACTAAGTGACATTTTAATTGACCTTTTTTGCCGTTTTATCTTAGTAACTCTGGTTAGCAACGAAATTGTGTGGAGTCAGTAAAAGCTCCACCCACCTCTGTGACGTCAGACTTAGGCAGTATATTCATCTTGACCCGAAGACACAACTGGAAGTTATAACGCTGTAGTCATTAAGCGCCATATATTCTTCAAAACACTTTCCGTTCGAATCTCCTTAGTACCTCTTGGTCTTTGTGTACCTACTAAGGTCTATATTTCCAATCCATATGTAAGTACTGGTCTTATTAAGGTCTTGTATAGGACTAATTTAATTTTTCTTGGTAGTTTAGATGTAAAGTTGTTTTTAATCCCATGGAAGCATTTGTTTGCTTGGATCATATATCCTCTTCTATATTTCTTCGTTGACGTATACGAAACTTTTAACCGCTCTATTTCATCACCACCAACTTCCAAATGTTCTGGTATGTTTTCACCGACACCCTTTGCCACCGTATACTTGGTCTTTGTAAAATTTATCTTTTACACCTCCGTTTTCAATCTTGTAAAGGCCTTCTCCACCTCGTTTTCTGTTCTCCTTATTATATCCATAGCGTCGACGATCTGCGTTAATTTGTTCAATATTGTGCCAGATGTTCGGAGTTCAACCTCTCTTACCACCGTTTCCAGTGCTATGTTAAAAAGCAGACATGACAGCCTATTTTCCTGTCGTAAACCTCCGTGGCTTCCAACTGTTCTTGATAGAACTCTTTGTATTCTGACTTTACAGAAAACCTTCCCGACAGTTAAATGTATTATTGATACCAGATGAGGAGGTATATTGAACTGCGACATTGCTGCCATAATGCAAAGATATGGTCTTTTGTTGATTTATTTACACCAATTCTTCTAGGTATGATCCCCTTGTACATGCCACAATCTCAGAGGTCTCCCCTTTTATGCAGTTCGCAGTATTCGCTAGGTATTTCTTGTTGTGGCCCATTCTTTTCGTACATTTTTAAAGAGGTTATCTAGTAATTAGTCGGAGCTTGCCGATTTGTTATTTTTGAGTCTTTTAATTAATTTTATTAAGAATTTTCTCTCGTTGGTGGAGACGGTATTGGTCCATACCGACTCCTTGACTCCTATTGGTCAATACTAATTATCCCTTTCCTCTTCTTCTTCTGGTCCTTTTACGAGTTCTTTGACGTGGTCTGTCCATCTGTTAAGTATTACTTGCTTATTATTAAGGATATTTCCCTGGCTGCCATAACCTGTTATGTTATTCTTTCTTCTTTCTTCTGGCTACTTTCTTTTCCGTTCGCCTTAGTTCCCTGTATTTTTCAAGCACACTCCTTGTGTTGTATCGTTGTATTTTTGTGTAGGTGTTGATCTTAGCTTGAGATGCCCACGGACACTCCTCATTAGACCAATCGTCCCGCACCTCATTCCGCCTTTCCCCTACTATGTCGTTGGCCGCTCTGTGAAGCTCATCTTTGTACTGACTCCAGTATTCATCCACGCCTGCGTGCGTTTTTCCTAATTGGTGCTCTTATGTGATGAATTTTGTGATTGCTTCTTTTATGTCTTGTTATTACAGTACCTTTACGTAGTATCTCATTGTCCTACCATTCCTATCCTTCTTCACGTTAGATATTCGAGCTCTTAATTGCCACATTTGGTGTGGAGTGGAGAAAGATTTCGTTGAGTCCAGTAAAATCGCCCAAGTCAGGCTTAGCTCCATATCATTCTTTCTGTTGTTTTTATGGCGATAAATTTCTATAGCTTCTCTGGTGGTAGTGGCTACTCCTGGCAAATATTTTTGTCTTATCGAAATATATTTTATGGTATCGTTCCGTGTGAAAATGTTTTACGACTGCTGGCTGTTATGTTATTCCTAATTTGTCGTTCCTTTCGTGTTTCTTTATACAACATTCGAAGTTCTGTTCAGTTTGCCTTACATAGTATTTGCCACACTTGTACGACAGTCTGTAGACTCTTAACCCCTTTAACGGAGGAAGTTTGTTTTTTGCTATCGGCAATGTGTTCTGTATTTTGCTGACTGATCCATGTCTCACCACGATGTCGTCCTTTTTCCATTCCTCTCTTTTCCTTGTTTGCCCGTCAGCGTATAACCATTCTTCTAAAGTATCTCCTTGCTTTAATCTCCTAACTCTTTGTAAAAGACTGCAAATAAAAGAACGTGTATTGAACTTTCATTAGCCGAAATGAAGAAAAATGTTTAGAAGCTTAAAAATACATAAAAATTTCTAGGACAAATTACTTTATTACTTATTTAGAACTTTACTTTGAACATACATATTTAAAGTGTACTTAAAATAGGTTGCAAATTGTGTCCAGTACATATTAGATTAAAATTAATCATTTTGTAGAAAATTTCTGGTTATGTATTTTTGATTACCTTTTAAATCATCCTGTATATATATATATTTTGATATCGTGCCACAGAACGTAAAATAACTAATGCAATAAATTTATGTCAGCATAAGTGTTTGAATTTTGCCAAGAACATTTAAAAG